CGTGTTTAAACGAGGTGTTTTAGGAGGGCGTGGACAAGTCTTAACTTTTATAAAGATTATCTCTTTGGGTTTGAGACTTTAGTCTTGGCAACTTTTTATCTATGCACGAACAGCTTGTAACACTCCAAAGAGAAAGGACAATTTGAAATTGCATCATATGACCCCTTTAATGATTTCTTAAAGGCACCGATAGTGTGTTTTTATCGGAGTTCATAAAATAAAAAAATATATATATGTATCATGATTTATTTTCAACTTTCCCATTCCCTCTCTCTCTTTCTCATTTGTTTAGGTTATTCTGACTTCACTGGAGGGTTTGAAGATGATGGCTGTTGCAAACGGGGCGTCTTCACTGCATTCAGTGGAGCTCCAGCTCTCTCTGGAGCAAATGATGGAGCTGTGTTAGAAAGATCGGCTGTGACCGAGCAGAAAGACGTGACTGCACACATATAGGGCTCCTGAATTGCAATTATTTCTTAAACAGTTTACTTAGTGGTGACTCCGTGGTTAATTGTATTTATTCAAGGTGCGTGGACTAATATTAATGGTACAAAGTAATTGTCAATGATTCTGTGGATAAAAATACAAAGATGAGTTTACAAGTGGAGTCGTATTTTAAATGGATGGGTTTCATGGTTGTGTGCTATCATGAAAGAGCATTTAAAAATGCTAAAACCCAAGTCTAATATGTTTTTTAAGTCTGTTTTTACACTACTACGGATCTCTGATACAATATTGAGTCATGATGATGTCTATTTACAGTATTTCTTCAGTCTTTTCCTGGCCTGAATTTCATTGTTGTTATATCTTTGACAGTAATCTGAACTGAATGTGAGCTCTTGTTCCATTGATGTGCCGTGTTTCTTCCTCTTTTTCAGCTGAGATGAACTAAGAGGTTTACACTTAGTATCATGGTTTCCAGTGATGTAAAACCTGGAAATTTCAGGGAATTTTATGTGTTTTCCAGGCCTGGAAAAGCACTCAAGTTAATAAATCTTCAAAGTCATGGAAAAGTCAAGAACATTTCTATTCTAAAATACACGTTGTTGTAGTTACGCTCTGTTCTAAAACATTTCATTGGAAAGATATTGATTCTGAAGAGTAAAACCTGTTGGCAAGATTTGTGAGTGAATCATTTGAGTTCTATTCAATAAATCAACCAAAGCAGTTCACACATCAGTTTAACATTTAATATTCAGCTATGTGGAGAGAGATTTCACTGTGGGCGGAGCTTCTCAGTGTCACACAACATAAATAAAAACAAAGAATCTCACAACCACCTGTTTAGGACACTAGAGGATACAACTAACTTGCATTAAATGGACACTATGTTCACACCGCTGATTCTACATTCACAAAAAATAAATGAACATTCAAAGTAACATTTAAAGAACACAGAGTCCTTCAAAACGCATGCAGTAAATGCATTGACTAATTGAATAATTATGATATAAACTTATTTATATATATATATGCTACCTTATGTTAATGGAAACAAAAGTCTCTTTTACCCACCAAAGCTGCATTTATTTGATCAGAAATACAGTAAAAATTGTGAAATATTACAGTTCACAATAGCTGTTTTCTATTTTAATGTTATTTTGAATATTTTAATATTATTATTGTAAAATAATAGTAATTTAGCAATTTATTCCTGTGATCAAAGCTGAATTTTCAGCATCATTACTCCAGTCTTCAGTGTCACATGATCCTTCAGAAATCATTCAAATATGCTGATTTGCTGCTTGAGAAATATTTCTGATTATTATCAACAGTGCTGCCTAATATCTTTGTGGAAACTGTGATACATTTTTATTTTCATGATTCTTTGATGAATAGAAAGTTCAAAAGAACAGCGTTTTCTTATATATAAATATGTCTGTGTAACATCATAAAGGTCTTTACTGTCACTTTGCATCCTTGCTAAATAAAAATATTCATAAAAAAAAAATCTTATTGATCCAAACTTTTTACCGGATGTGTACTAATTAAATAAAGTGTCTCAATTCGATATATTCAGGTAATATTTAAGGGCATGTCTAGGTGGTGTTATGTGATAAGCTGTTAAAACTATTTCATATTGAAATATTATTATTTTATCTAGTCAGTTTTGATCACCACATCTATGCCAGTTCTACTCCACATTCTCCAGGTCATCATGTTCTTCCTCTGATTTCTTCTCCTCCACTGAAAGGTCCCTGAGCTCCGGCAGCGGCACCAGCTGACCCTCTTCGTCCAGTCCCATCGGCTGAATCACATTATCCCTGTTTAGGAAAAGATGTGAGTGTTAAAGCAGTACGTATTTACGAATTATTGCTGGTGTTTTCAGTAGTTTAAGTTCCTTACTTTGAGAGTTTGTTAAAAAGACTGATGAGCCGGTGTGCCTCCTCCTCTTTCTCCTCCTCTGTCATTCCCTCCATCGGATCAGGCTGCTCCTCTTCCACCTGTCCCGTCACTGGATTCACTCGGTCTTTAATCTGCCGGTACTCCTCGGTGTCCGAGTCTGAATCGCTAGAGTACTGCGTGCCTGATGATGTGGCCTTTGACCTCTGACCTCCTAGCAAGCCTCTAGTGGCCAGGAGCCCAGCGGCATTTCCATATCCAGTGTACTTAACGAAACGCCTCACTGGAGTAGCCGGAAAAAAAACCCCCCACAAAGACTAACTAAATGACAATAAAGGGTCTTTATTGGCATCTATGGTTCCATGAAGAACCTTTGACATCCATGTAACTGTTCCATTGGACAAAGGGATCTTTATAGCGGAAAAGGTTTTTCAACTTATTAAAAAAAAAAGGAATATTAAATCTCTACACTAAGAAAATGGTTCTTTTAAATAGAAACCTGTTTCAGCAACAGAATAAAAAAAAAGTAATTGCAACTTTTTTTCACAATTCTCTCAATTCTGACTTTTTTCATAATTGCAAGAAATAAACTCAGAATTGCAAGATATAAACCCGGATTCAGAAGAAGAAAAGTCAAAATTGTGATACAATAGCTTGTTTGCAATCACATGATTCTGATGGAGGGCAGGAAGTGAAAAGCAGGATGGATGAGATGGAGGGAAGTCCGCACTGTACTGGTTTAGACACTCTTACAAGAGAGAGGTATAAACAGAAAATCACAAAATTGTGATCCTTATGTTATGAAGAGGAGCGATTTTTCAACTAAATTGAAATACTTGCCTGCCATCGAGGCAGTGGAATGGATACGTGTGGCATTTAGCGTTGCGTGAATTCAGACTGTCTCATGTTGAATGCGTGAGAGTTGACAGCCCTGTATCTATTTATATATTTCTTTATTAATAACCTAATTTATTATTGTATCTTATATATTAACCATTTGCACACACGGACATTTCTCAGACTCGGCTCCTCCTGACCGCAGAAGCTGGTTTTCAAGCCACTTTTCCCTGCATTTTTCAGTCAATTTCTTTCCTTTTCCACCCTTATGAACAACAAATATTCGTACACGATAATAGCACATTTACATTTAGTCATTTAGTCATTTTTAATAGCTCCTTGTGGTTTCTCAGTTTGACCGATTTGAGCATCCATAAACAACGCAAAACATAAGCATTTTGAGTTTCTGCTAACGATTCTCATATAGAAAAATCACTGCATTTCGCGCCACAGTAATGACGTCATGTGCAAACAACCTACTACTTCGCCCGGAGTTTGATTGACAGGTGATCTGACCAATCATGACGCCGAATCTGCCATTTTCATTTTGTAAAATATTAAAAACGCAAAACACACCTGATGTGAATTCTTTGCTCTTAATTTTCTATAAGAAGAGTTATTGTATTAATGTTGTATTTTCTTGTAATTTATTAAAAGAAGGTACACCGCCATCTTGTGCCGACTAAAACCGATTTGAGCATCCATAAACAACGCAAAACATAAGCATTTTGAGTTTCTGCTAACGATTCTCATATAGAAAAATCACTGCATTTCGCGCCACAGTAATGACGTCATGTGCAAACAACCTACTACTTCGCCCGGAGTTTGATTGACAGGTGATCTGACCAATCATGACGCCGAATCTGCCATTTTCATTTTGTCCGACAAACAAACTATGGTGCGTTCAAGTCATGTCGGATAGATCGTATTTACGAGTTGAACGCACATGAACGCCACCACAAAGTCGTTATTACGAGTGGGAAACTCGAAATTTTCTTTAAGCCCCGAGTTTCCGAGTTGGGGGCGTGTCAATGAGGAACATGGCGGAATCGATGGATGCAACGTCTGTAGTTGACGGTAAATTTTTGTTTAAATTGATAGTTTAATTGGTCATGTTCTTGTTACGCAGCTAGTTAATGAAATCCAAGTACAAAATGCTATAATTTTTGCACCTATAGGTGAAAAATCTTTTGATTTGCCATGTTGCATGTTTTAAAAATATTAAAAACGCAAAACACACCTGATGCAAATTCTTTGCTCTTCATTTTCTATAAGCAGAGTTAACAGACCCTGTTGTATTTTCTTGTAATTTATTAAAAGAAGGTACACCGCCATCTTGTGCCGACTAAACTGACTTGAACGCACCTGACGTCGTAATTACGACTTGTCAACTCGTAAGTACGAATGTCCCAGGAGGACTTGAACGCAGCACTAGACAGAAGAGTAGATTAACGTCGGTGGACTTGAACTGGAAAAATGGTGTGTATTTGCGTCTTTTCATGGTTGAAACAAGATACCTTCTGATGTTCCTTCATGTTTATTTCGTGCTATATCTAGTAAAGAGATGATCGGTCCACTTGCCGGTTGAACTGAGGAGCTACAGCGATCTGTCACGACACATTAAAGAGCCACAAATTATTGTTTGGATTTCTTAAAAAAAGGACAAAATTTGAAAGCTGAGACTTCGTTTCATAACAAAAGTAACCTGCTCTGTCTTGTCTGTTGGCGCGTTGTGTCCTCTTTGCTCCGCAATGTATTTTTCACTGCTTGAGAAGACTATGTGTGGCCTGAGAGCGCCAAGGCTTGTCGGACATAGCAACAGTAACTAAGGGGGGCGGGTATTTGCGAAATGTCAAATGTGAGATAAAAACTCTCAATTACCTTTTTTATTTTTTATTCCATGGCGGGGAAAAAAAACAGAATGGCGGGATTTAAATTCAGAATTCAAAAAAAAAAATTAGAAAGTCAAAATGTAAACGTAGAATTGCGGGAAAATCAGAATTCTGAGTTTATACCTTGCAATTCTGGGCCCGTATTCACAAAACATCTTAAGGCTAAAAGTAGCTCATAACTCGCCGATTTAGGAGAAAATCTTAAAAATAATGCGCGTGTCAGTCCTAAATTTAGGACTCCTACATTTTTGCTCTAAGAGTATTTCACAAAGCCTTTTAGCACTATGATAATGACCTTTTAATCACCTTTTTTCTCCTAATTTTCCTTTGATCATATCCTTGCTTTCATTAACCAGTTGGGCAAGAAGTAACAGCTGTTCTTGCGTCCATTTTTTTTCTTTTTCTTTTTTTTTACGTTTGCATGTATTACTGTCATCCATGATTATTTTACTCTGTTAATTAAAAGGCTGTTTATATGCATATCCGCGAATTGTTTTTGAGAAGCATACATGTAAGAGGCTGACAATAAGCTGAACATATACTTGTTTAATTAGTGACACTTATCCTGCATTTTAAAATCTTTATTTGAATGTGGCAATTAACATTTTTTATTTTTTAAACCTTTATTTGAATACGGCAACATAATATTGTGCTCTACAATATTTCCATGAATTAATCTCTGACAGAGACTAACAGCCAATCACTGTGTGCATAGTTAGTAAGCATGCTGACATCATCCATAGCAACGAGGTCAACCCCGCCCCCTTACTCTTAGCTTAAAGCAGCACTATGTAACTTTTGGCGCTCTAGCGGTTAATAAACAGAACTGCACACATCCCGCGGAAGAATATTCCAACCGGAGCTACTTCTCTAAGTTTATGTCTATGGCGATTCACGCAGGTATGTGTTACTCCGCAGCGGTGGCGACCCGACTAGCCTACAATAGTCCAAATACAAGTACTTATTATAAGTGTACCGTAGTGATTCGGAATAAGACAAAAACGCGGTTTGGAAGATGAATTCATGATGTACTTGCTCATTATATACATTTTGCAAATAGTTACAGAAAAAGTTACATAGTGCTGCTTTAAGACTTCTCTCTATTCCTTAGTAAAAATTTGTCTCAGCAGCTTTGTTAATAGGTTTTAAGAGAAAACTCTTAGCTAAAAACTTTTACTGCTTTTTAGGATAACTCTTAGTGATAAGAAAACATGTTTTGTGAATACGGGCCCTGCTCTTTTTCTTAAAATTGTGAGAAATTAAAAAAAATAAAAATCTGAATTGTGAGATAAAAAGTCTCAATTACCTTTTAAATTTTTTAATTCAGTTGCATAAACAGGCTCCCATATGCGTTTAAAAAGGTTCTTTAGGGAACCCAAAATGGTTCTTCTATAGCACTGCAGCAAAAAACCCTTTTAAAACGTTATTTTAAAGAATGTAGTATGTTTTTGGAGGGAAATTCTGTATTTTTACAGAATTCTGGTATTTGTGGTTAATAGTGTGTTTCTATGCGTTACTGTTCTCTTTGCACAGCACGAAGAGCAGGTCAGCAGCGCAGTGTTTGAGCTCAGTCTCCAGGTGGGTCATCAGTCTGACCAGACGATTCCTCATAGTGTTTCCCTCCTCAGGTTTAATGCTGGCATCTCTTAATGGAGGCAGAATCTATACCCAACAAACAAATTGATCAAATTTGATAGCATTTGATAAAAAAGCAAGAAGTATTTTTTTAGACAATAATGTAAAATAGCAGTCATGCCTGTTGTCTGAGGTAGTGCCTTGTGTCTCTGTGACCTCTGGAGCATTCGGTCAGCAAGTTCAGCACAGGGGTCAGTCTCTCTTTGACCTTTTCACCCTGCATGTGAAACACCATGGTGTTAGAAAAGCTGCTGTTGCAAACATATGTATTTTTTCCCATGAGGTTCACTATTTAAGACCAGGTTTTTAGGCCAAAAATCTACAGTGGGTACGGAAAGTATTCAGACCCCCTTAAATTTTTCACTCTTTGTTATATTGCAGCCATTTGCTAAAATCATTTAAGTTAATTTTTTTTCCTCATTAATGTACACACAGCACCCCATATTGACAGAAAAACACAGAATTGTTGACATTTTTGCAAATTTATTAAAAACCCAGCATTTTTTTAGAGTGTAGCCTAATAGTTATATTTATATTTCATCCTCTCTAACCCACATTTTTTCACATTTTAACAAAAGAAATAAAAATGCATTTTTTTAAAAAAAGTACAATTTACACTACCGTTCAAATGTTTATTCTTTTTATTTGAAAGAAATGAATAGTAAACGAGACTGCATTAAATTGATCAAAAGTTCTCGAGCAGCAAAATCAGTAAATTAAAATGATTTCTGAAGGATCATGAAGACATTTTACCCTATTGTTTTTTTTATTTTTATTTCCCTTTCCGTATTTATTTCTTCCCCTTTCTCATTACCTGCCCCAGTTTTCTCTCCATGTACATGAGTAGGTTGTGCACACAGTCCATGTTGGCTCCATTCATCTGGTGTGAGTCTGGACCCAGAGGCACAGATACCAGAACGTCTAGACAGCTCAACGGGAGAGCAGACAGCATATTCGCTGCATGCCTGAGAGAACGAGAGAGAGATGAGGACAAGCGTATGCTCAAATCTGTCCTCTTTCAGTCGAACGTTCCCTCTGTCAGTTTATAAAATGAACTGAACTGCAGAAATGTACAGCTCATATTTTTATTGAAGCATTTACATGAATCGTTCATATGAGTGGAGAAAAGCAGACACAGACAAACATGGCATCCAGAAGAAGGAAGAGCTTGTGCTCACGGTGACACTGGTGAGGTACACTGGCTAAAGAGGCCTATATACTGTGATCAATTTAGAGATATGAGAGAGAAATTCTTTGAAAAAGTCACATCTAATTCCTCATTTTTTTTAAACGGTCACAAACAGATCAGACGCAGGTGTTACTGAGGGAAGACAGTTAGACATCTGTCAGCCAAATTAATATATGCTCTACACATGTGATCCGATACTAATATTCACTAGTTTGTTTATTGCCTGCACAACAATGTAGTCTTAATGTGTTTTATTATTTAATTTATTTTATATTTTTATATTGCAATTATTATTCTGTTATTATTTTTATGTCTTATTTCTCTTCTTTTTTTCTAACATCTTTCACTTTGTCTTGTGTGTGTGTGTGCTTGTGTCAATCATTGCATCCGTCAGACAAATTAATATGTGCACTAGACATGATTCTCATATTCACTAGTCTATTTATTGCCTGCAAAATTTTATATATTGCAATTATTATTCTATTATTATTTTTGGAGTCATGTTTTGTACTATTTTCTATTATCTTTCACTTCTCTGTGTGTGTGTGTGTGTGTGTGTGTGTCTTGATCTTGTCAATCATGCCAATAAAGTATTTGCATCTCTAAGCCAAATTAATAAGTGCACTATACACATGATCTATTTTTCAAATTCAGTAGTCTATTGATGCACAACAGTGTAGACATAATGTATTTAAATTTAATATATTGCAAGTAATATTCTATTAATAATATTTCATTAATATTATTTATATATATATATATATATTTTTTTTTTTTAATTTTTAATTTTTTAAATTATCTTTCACTTCTTTCTGTTTATGTTTGTCTTGATCTTGTCAATCATGGCAATAAAGTTTTTTGACATTTAAATTATATTTGACTTCCACTTTTGAGTGGAACGCATCGTAAATGCCAACATTTTCAATTAGTGGATAATTAATGCTATAGATGATGTCAACAGGGCTTTCATTACATTACAACGGTATTTATCAATACTAACCCCTTTAATTCATCTGAAGCTTCCTCCTTCTCACAGGACACCATCAGACAGTGACACAAAACGGCAGCCAGGTGGCGATAGAGAGATGCATCTTCCTGATAGGCACAAAGAGAACCTTGACATTAACAATTACATTATTCAGCGCACTGTGTGGGTTTTTGATCACAGTTCTACAGTAACACCATCTGACACATCACGTGGTGCAATCATAGTTGTCTATAAGGGAGGTGAGTGTGATGATAATCTCTGCATACACTCACCTCTTCTGGTTCTTGAGTGTGTGTGCTGTGTGTGATATTAAAAAGAATCTTCAGGGCCTCCTGAGGCTGCTGTGAGTCCTCCACACTTATAGGAGGCGCTGTAGGATCCAGCACGACCTCATACTGTTCCTTCCACTGGACTGATAAACTCTTCTCCAGCACTGTGGTCAACAGCGGCACTCCTCCCTCCTACAAATTAAGAAAAAGTCATTATAATATAGACATGAATAAGTTTGGGGTCAGAAATATTTTGTAATGTTTTTGAAAGAAGTCTCATATGCACGCCAAGGCTGCATTTATTTAATTAAAAATACAGCAAAAACAGTAATATTGTGAAATATTATTACAAATTTAAATAGCTGCTTTCTATTTGAATATATTTTAAAATGTTATTTATTCCTGAGATGCAAAGCTGAATTTTCAGCATCATTACTCCAGTCTTCAGTGTCACATGATCCTTCAGAATTCATTCTGATTTGCTGCTCAAGAAACATCTCTTGTTATTATACATGTTGAAAACAGCTGTGCTGCTTAATATTTTTGTGGAAACCATGATACATTTGTTTTCCAGGATACTTTGATGAATAGAAAACATTAACATTGTAACATTATAAATGTCTTACCTGTCACTTTTGATTAGTTATAATGCATCCTAAACATTTGAACAGTAGTGTACATTATATAATAGCAGATTCGCTCGAAATTCACTAAAATAGAAGATGAAAAAGTAGATACTTGTTTCAGCTGTGCTCTGAGTTCAGGTCTCAACGCCGTCAGCAAAAACATGAACCGGAGTGTGTAAAACTGACCACAGGGGGAAGATACGGACTGAAACTCCTTATTTAGCTTTTCTGTCAGACCACAGAGCAGACTGAAGTACAGCAAACAGTTGGAGAGAAAAGAAAAAATGCATATGGCATGAAAATATATTTAGTTTCAGTGAATACAGTGGCCCCATAAACACTTAAAGGGATAGTTCACCCAAAAATGAAAATTCTGTCATTAATTACTCATTAAACGCGAATACGCTGTTTACGTCGTTTATGCTTTGATTTGAACGAAAACAACGTATCCGCATGGCACAGCTGACACAAAACAGGACATGAGGGTGAGTAATTAATTTTTTGGGTGAACTATCCCTTTAAAGCTGCAGTCTGTAACTTTTGGCGCTCTAGCGGTTAATAAACTGCATGCGTCTTGCGGAAGAACATTGTAGCCGGAGCTACTTCTCTCTGTTTATGTCTATGACGAATCACGCAGGTACTCCGCAGCGGTACCTACCCGAACCAGTCTAAAATAGTCCGAATATAAACACTTATTATAGGTGTACCGTAGTGATTCAGGACAAGGTAAAAACACGGTTTGGAAAATGGATTCATGGTGTACTCGCTTATTATATACATTTTGTAAATTTTGAACATAAAAAAGTTACGGACTGCAGCTTTAACAAACAAATAAAATGCAATAATTTCATTGCATTAACTCATACGCTTTTTTCAAAACTAACTTCACTATTTTTTTGCAATGACTTGTAACCAAGTGGTTAATCTTTCACTGGTTAGCATAAATATAGGGCCCTATGATTTTTGCAGACAGAATTCATGAAAATACAGATGGAATCTAGACATAAAAAATGGAATTTACTGTATAACATGGAATGTCACAGAATTTGGCAAAATTTGGATGTTTAAATCAAAGATTAGGGCTGTACAGTTAGTGAATCTTAAACAGCAAAAGGCTGCTATTTTAAATATGAAGTAATATGAAGTTAAAAATATAAATGTAAATATTCACTTCATCTTCAGAGCTGCTCTGAGAGTCACTTCATCAGCATTTCAGCCCGCCAAAATAAAAGTTCGGTTTATCTTGAAGAAATGATGACACAAATAAATGACTATTGTATACTAAAATGTACTTCTGACAGTAATAATAATAATAATAATGATAATAATAATTTTAAGGAATATCACAATTTTTCTTTCATTTAAAGAATAAACCTCCGATGTGCCAAATTTTGCTATAGTTGCCAAAAATGAAAGGAACTGTTCAAATTTCATTTGATTACATTCTAAAAGACGAATTAAATTGCTAAGTTTTATGCATTCATTTAATTACCAATATTTTTGATAATAAATTTGTATTAAATCCTAAAATACAGAATCCAGAAAAATTAAGACAGACGACAAAATAAAATAAATAAATGAATACATTTCATAGGGCACTATAAATGTAAAAATTTTTTAATAAATTAGGAATTGCTAAAGTTTTATGAATTCAATTGATTATGATTAAGTTGATTCAATTGAATTCGTTTCTGTTCATTCAATTCAATTAAATTCCTTTATGATGATCAAAATTTGATGAAACCATTAAAACTGAATCTGGAAAACTTAAACGGAACACACAGAATTGAGAAAAAAGTAAACTTTTTTTCATAGGGCCCTAAGTTAAACTCCTGCTGGTAGGTGAATGTAACTACACAGTTTGACTGCAAAAAAAAAAAAACTCTTTTATTTGCATTTTTCATAGAACTCATGAGGAAAGATGTTAGAATTTGAAACTGTAAGTTGAAATGATTCATACCTGAGTTCGCTGGCTCTCTCTTGTGCCCAAGCACTATTGTAAACAATGTTACAGAAGATTTTCATGACTTCCTTCCTGTTGACTTCATCATCAACTTTTTCTTCTTTTTCCTCCTCCTCCTCTCCTCCTCCCAGGCTTCCTCTGCTGTCTCTTTTACCAGGAGTGAGAGCTTTGAAGACGCTGCTCCTCCTGCGAGAAGGTCTGAGGCTCATGTTTGAAAATGTGCTGGCCTTACACTCGCCACACCAATCACTCTGGAGGGTCGTTCACATCACTGCTTACGGCCCCAGAACCGTCGTCTTCCTCACTGCCGTGATCATCCTCATCCGCTCGACCCAATTTGCTCTCAGAAATAGCCTCGATGATGTCATTATAGGGGTCAGAGTCGCCGTCGGTGTCTTCTTTGGGAACAGGTGCATTGCTGATGCCGCCCAGGTGTGCTAGTGTGAGAAGAGCTCTGTCAGTGATCAGAGGGCCCAAAACCTTTTTGTCCCTCGAGAGAATCCGTATGGATCTCAGGCATACTTTCAGCACACGCCCTTGCGGTTCAGTCTGGAGGAACCTGATTAAAACTGTAGCCAGAGCCTGAGGGAATGAAACAAATTAAACAAAGGCGGAAACTGTTTTTAAAATGGTTTAGGTGTGTATTTGTTTATAAGAGCCAAGGTTACCTGTCTCAAAATGACATCTGGGTTACTGGATTCATCATAGTCTGAATCAGAGTCTGACATATAATCCCGCACTTTATTCTTTCGGAACTGCAGTGACCAAAACAACAACACAAAGTATTATGGGAACAAATCACTAATTATGGGTGTCGCTAGCAATGCATAAATTGTACACCTTTAACCCCTCTGGTGTTCCGCAATTAGGACGGTCAAAATAGACTGAGGACAAGAAGCATAACATTTTGTTTTAATTGAATGATTATAATATATTTTGTTTCAATAATATTTGCTCTTTCATGGTACTAGACAATATTCATCTCTAAATTATATATTTATGCCTATATATAAAATTATACAAATATTAGAAAAATATTTCAAAATTGTTTTATTAATACAGCGTAAACGTAAAAATATAGCAAAGCTATTTGTTTGTGAAAAATGAATGGAATTGTTCACATTTGATTACATTTTAAAAGATTAATTCAATTTAATTAAAGTTATTAAATCAAATTAAAGTTTTATGCATTAATTGCCAAAATGTTTAATAATAAATATCTGTGTGTATATTCTTAAATTGTTAAAGTTTTATGCATTTAATTGATTAGACAATTATATGAAAAAGTATATGTCTATATAAAATAAAACAAATATTAGAATATTTATATTTATATACAACATACGTAGAAAATCCTAGGCAGATTGGTGCCCTCTGGTGGGAGTAATATAGAAAATCATATGTAATACCATGATGTAACCACTAGATGCCTTTATAGAATGGATTTAATAGGGCCCTACATGGTTTAATCCCTGCTGGTAGAAAAAAAAAAGTATATGTCTATATAAAATAAAACAAATATTAGAATATTTATATTTATATACAACATACGTAGAAAATCCTAGGCAGATTGGTGCCCTCTGGTGGGAGTAATATAGAAAATCATATGTAATACCATGATGTAACCACTAGATGCCTTTATAGCCTTATATGTAAATATCAAGCGGCAACCTTCCGGTCTCTCTCGTGAAACCAAGCGGCAACCTCCCCCTCTCTCTCATGATGCCAACAAGGAAGTGACTTAAACTGTAATTCATCAACTGGCCGCTAGAGGCTGGCTGCAAAAGGGAGTCAATCCCATAGACTCCCCAGCAACCAGCTCCCGCATTTTTGCCCATTTTCGATTATCCTGGAGTGACGCGCGGTGACGCGCTGCCAAGATGGCGACGGCTGGCTCTGCCCACTTTGAGCTTCAAAAACCTCTTCAGGAACCTACGGGTGACGTCACGGACACTACGTCCATGTTTTTATACAGTCTATTCTTGAAGTTCTGCATAATTAAGGGCGTGGCCACTTGAGTGACAGGTGGATTGTCGCTGCTGTCACCACCGTCGAGCTAGGTGGGCGTGGTTTCAGCAACCAGCTCCCGCCTCTTTGCCCATTTTTGACTATCCGGGAATGACGCGCTGCCAAGATGGCGATGGCCGGCTCCGCCCACTTTGAGCTTCAAAAACTCTCTTCAGAAACCTACGGGTGGCGCCATGGATACTACATCCATGTTTTTATACAGTCTATGGTAAAATATATAAGCTCTGTGATCCCCTAGTTTCTTATAAGAGTATTTTGAGACATGATTACTTACTTTGATTAGATTTGCATTTGGATATACATTTAGACTATCTATTTCATCATGGCTGATATGTAGATTGTACCCCCCAGAAATAGCTCCGTATTTTTGTATTTCCTTTTAATTTCTAATGGCGATCATAAAATATAAAAAAATAAAATAAAATTCCGAAGGTACGATTTTACAGTTTAAAATCGCCGAAGACCACCAGAGGGTTAACAGCCGTCAAATGCTTTTCAGGATGTCAGTAGCCTTAGAAAATTCAAGAATGTAGCTTTTAAAAAAGAAAATAATACCTCTTCCAGCTCCAGCCTCTTTTCAGATTGAACAAGCAGCCAAACAACAGAATAATAAGAAAATTATTAAACCATCCGAAAAGATAAGACAAAGAAAATATGTAAAATATATTTATTCTGAGTGTGTGTTTTAACAGTCAGTAACAGAGTTAGTAGGAAGAGAAATCTATCCCAGATAGATATAATGTTGAGTTTTCATCCAAACCATCATTTTGGTTGAGATTAAAATCTTAATGTAAAATCAGCATCACATCATAACTCTAATTAAGTGAACAATTCACATTGTTTTTTATTGAAATTTCAGCAGTCTTAACGTTTACTGAGGATGCAAAAATTATAGTAAACCAACATCTCTTTGTAATGTTAATTCAATGCAATTAACGTCCACACATCAACACTGACTTGCTCTCTGGGATGGATTTGGTAGAGAGCTTATGGTCTAAATATTAATGAGCTGCAGGCCGAGGATCACGTCAACTGCAGTATCAGCAAACAACTGAGGACATGGTTTTTTTTTAATGAAATTTCAGCAGTCTTAACGTTTACTGAGGATGCAAAAATTATAGCAAACCAACATCTCTTTGTAATGTTAATTCAATGCAATTAACGTCCACACATCAACACTGACTTGCTCTCTGGGATGGATTTGGTAGAGAGCTTATGGTCTAAATATTAATGAGCTGCAGGCCGAGGATCACGTCAACTGCAGTATCAGCAAACAACTGAGGACATGCAGGAATATTTCCTGCCCGGGGGAAAACGGCACGGCTCAGAGAACTCCATGGCGTTCATATACAGAAATCATAAATATGAGCACAGTTAGAGGAGACCTCATTTCTGAATGTGTGTGTGTAATTGCACTCAAATATCTCTTACTCTTCTTCTCTCCCTCTCCTCCAAATCATAGAAGAAACACTGTGCATACTAGGAGAGAGCGAAAATATTGAATTAGAGTGAGTGCACAACAAAGTAGATTGTTTTGTAATGAAATTTATTGTATTGTCAGTATGAATGCTATTAATACATTGGTTTTGGAGCCACTGGACTGAATATAATCAGTTTTTAGTTAATTGTAAGTACCTCTCGAATAAATTGCTGTAGTTCTGCCTTCAGCCCTTTCTGATCATCCTCTCTGATACACTCGATAATCCTCTCTATATTCATCGCTGCTCGAAAACACAAACGCACATACATAAACAAACAATAAACAATTGATCAAAAACATCTAAGATGGGGCACAGAAATCGGAGACCATTAAAATCCACGGTTTTACTGAAATGAGCAGTTTTATGGAAAAATTCAAATCAAAGAAATGTTTAATGTAAAAAAAGAAAAAAATATATGTTATAATTCACTAATCAAAAGTAATAAATTCTTGATTAAAGCAAAAAGGGTACAAACTAAAAACAAAAACTAATCAAAACATTCTGATATAATAAAATTTTCAATTCAACTTTTGATTAAAAATGTATAATAAATGAAATCAATATGATTTATGTTTAATGTAATAGATGTAATCATTACATTAATTACTTACATAAATTACATTCATTACATAAATGTAAATTCTAAATAATTTATAAATAAATTATATATGTAACATTCTGAAATATAACATTTTCAATTAAATTTTTGATTCAGAATTCATAATAAAAGGTAATACATGTAATAAATAATAATATGTCATTTACATAAAATGTAATATTACAATTAATATAATAAATTATTTATAGATATAATTAATTATATTAATTGCAATATTACATTTATAAAATCACATTATATATATACATACAAACATACTTTTACATAAACGCATGCATTTATGAAGAAATCATTTATATTAATAATTGAAATGGCAAAATAGAATCCTTATCAAGACATAAATACGAAATTTCTATATTAAAAACACAAAAAGAATCCGGCATTTAAGTCAATTCCAGATTTCCTTCCACTCCAACCAAAACAGTTGTCTCCTTTATATTTGTGTTAGTTTATCCTCTTACCTGTGAGCGTGTCTTCACCTGAGCGTGCCATGCAGGATGCAGTGCAACCGGAGCCTTTAAATCTTTAATTTCTATTGGATTTGAATCACTTGCTCAGTTGCTGTGATTCTCTCTCTTCGCCTGCAGGCCTTTTATGTAGATCTCTCTGAGATCTCTCCCTCTGTTTACCTCCAGCTCTGTCTCTACCCCCGTTTGTCTGTAATCCTGCAGTGCATTAGTTATGCTCTAATCCTTTAATGTCTTTTCACTTCATCTCTATTCACTCACACTATAAATAACCTTACAGCAGATCCAGTTGATGTGCAGTGACATACAGTTCGATAGAAAACAGTGACATGATGATTGATCACTGACTGTCTGAATATGTAATTAAACATTATTATGAATCCATAAACTATGAATAACCTAAACGCAAGATAATAAACTGTAAACAGACAAAGCTGCTTTGTTATTGTTTAATTTAAATTCAAGTATGCTATCATTTTGCCATAATATGCTATCATTTTGTATATAGCATATATGTACATATACTGTCTATTGTCTTTTTGTCTGTTGTGTATTGATTTTGTATATTTATTTTTAATCGCTTATTTTGATTTAGTTATCCTGTCTGAACACTGGAAGCTTCTGTCACCAAGACAAATTCCTTGTGTGTAAAAGTATACTTGGCAATAAAGCTCTTTCTGATTCTGATTCTACCCAACATGCACTTCAGACCTAAGGGTGTAATATATGTTAGATAATAATAAAAAAATATATATATTTTAACTTTTTTTTTTAAAATTATATGTTAAAATATAAATAAACAGTTATTTACTATGCAATATACAATGCACTGGATGTAAGCTGTAACAATGTAAAATATATTTTGAAAATTCAAAAAGGTTAAAAAGAGTTTTTTCTCGTTTCCCTCTAAAGACACACACACACACACACACACACACACACATATCTTAACCATAGTCTTATCTTTTCCTAGATTACAGGTAATAGCAATTAAAAATGTATTTAGTTAATTTAGTTGAATAATAATAATAATAATAATATTAATAATAATAATAATTATTATTATTATTAGCAGTAGTAGTAGTAGTAGTATTTAATTGTTTTAAATTATACATTTAAGTTTAATACATACATTTTGTTATGTGCTTTCCATCATTTTTATTTTTACATTACAATTTATTTTTATTTCAATTTTAGTTTTAGTCATTTTAGCACTTCAACTTAAATTGATTTCAGTTAGTTGACAAGGCAGGTTTTAGTTTTTAAACAGTTTTAACTTTTCCTTAGCCATAGTTAAAATTTTATTACTGTAAGTTGATTTAAAATAAATGATAATTTACTATTTAATAAACAATTTGAAAACTGTAAAAAAAAGTATTTTGAAAGGTTTATTCTTCATTCAGTGTTGTATTTTTATTTATTAGTTCTCTTTTCCCTTTTAAATCCACACACAAACATACATTTTAACCATAGTTTCAGCTTTTCTAAGTCATAGTTAAAACTTAATCATGTTGATTTAAACTACCAGTTATTCTATTACAAAAGATTCAATTGTTGGAAAAAATGTCAACTTTAATTATCTCGATCAGTTTCAGTACATTATAATAGGAAACATCTTTCTTCCCAGAGGGCCAAGTTATGATTGCAATTCTGATTTGCAAATGTTAATATAATACTGGATTAAAATGTATTTTGTCTGTGTGGTACATATTAGAGGCATGTATTACTACATTTAGCTCATATGGGCCATATAGTACAAGGTTATGACATTTACATTTATGCGTATGTGTTAATAAACATTTTATATTACAGTAAGTAAAACAGTACCAAGCGCTTGTGAATCTATCATGTAACTGAGCCAGTGTGTTTCCTGACAGCATACACATCAGTGCCTAGTGGACAGAAGAAAACACACACACACACACACACACACACACACGTGTGCACAATGTACCCAGTAGCACTGATTGGCACTCAACAACAGGATGTGTCTGTTAAAGATAGGGCAATGTTTGAAATGATATACAGAGCAATTCACATGAGAATACGCCCCCCCCTTCACCTTTCCTTATCCCAACAAGCTGACTTACACAAGCATAAATCACAATAAGTGCTCAAACAACAGCGCCTCTTCTACTCTTAATCAAGTGTTACTCAAATCCTGCATCCACACCTGCCATTTACATCCTGTTGACAAGCTCCGCCGTACCAAGAAGTGATTGTGTCATGGTCAGTGAGTCAAGATGAATAGAGGTGAATCTGATTAAAAGTCACAAACAACTGTTCATTGTTACCAGGACCAAAACTTAAATAACACTAAAAAAATTTATTTAGCATCTTTTGTTTTTCTCATTTTATTTTTATGAAATTGATTCTAAAACCAGAGACTTCACAATAAATAAAAAATAAATATTAAAAGATTAATTATAAGATTAAAAGATTCCTATAGAGAAGGCAATGGCTATTTGAGTTAATATTGCTGTTATTGGTTTCTCAGTTATAATTATACCTGATTAATTCTGGCCTGACTGTGTTTTAAAATGACAACAGTTGACATGAAAACGTGTGATGTTTGCTAACATGTAGACCAAAGAAGTGTCATGCCAATAGATGAAATGCAAATTGTGCCTTGATGACTTTTTCTTCTATCAGGACTACATCTATACTATACAGAAAAGTAGATATTTATTATCAAAATATACATAAACTGAAATTTGAGAACAAAAGCATTGTCATATCTGGAAGGATGTTTGTGTTTCATTGGAAACTAATGTTATTTAAGTATTAATTATACACTATTATAGTATATATTAATATATTGAATTAGCGTTTTTTTTTTTCAGTTTTCAAGTACACAGTTTTCTTTTTAATTTTATACACTGTATATTTGTGTTATGATCTCCAGCCATTTCACTATCACCTGTCACCTCCACACTAGATTTCCCATAATCTCTCCTGGCTCCCACCTGTACACACTCCACAATCACCCGCATCTGCCATCATTCACTCTCATCTCTGATTCTCCGGGTATCTTCTCCAGTCTCCAGCTCCCCTTGTGTTCACCGATCTGATGTGGATGTGGAGAAGCAGCGCAAAGCCGCAGGAGTCAGGTGATGAGAGTATTGCGAGATAACTGACGCGATGATGGGGGATCCAAAAGCGCAAGAGAACTTTTGTTAATAAAAGTTTCATTTCTTCATTTAAGTGAGTTTGTCTTTATTGTTGCTGTGCTTTCATTAAAACAATGACCCACAAACTAAGCATTTGTTTTAAATAAGGGAAAATGTCTTATTTATTTGGGTTACAACGCAAGTAGGCTATATCCATCTTATGCATTTTGTTAATGAAAGTTAGATGTTTAGTATATGCAAATTTGCCATTGTACTATTTTATGATTGATGTGTTTTAATTAATAATAATGAACAACGAACTACGATCATTTTAATGTAAGGGGAAATTAAGGGTTACAACGCGTGTATAACATATCATTCTTAATCATTTTGTAAATAAAAGGGAAAATCCAAAAATACATTTTGTTAATGTAAGGGAAAAATCCATAGACCTTTTATTTATTTGTGTTGCAACGAGGGCATTTGTTCATAAAAGTTTTATGTTTAATATAAGCAACTTTGTTGTGTGTGGGTTTTTTTAAATTAAGAGTAGCCTAATATTGAATCAACCTTAAGTATTTTGTTCCAAGAATATAAAAAGATCTAACGTTAAATATCAAAATAAGTGCTATACAGATGCGAGAATGAACATCATCGAAATGTCACCTGTCTTAGAACTCCTCCCAGATCAGGCCCCCTCGTCAATCCTCATGCAAGCTCAAGAGTCCAGAGTCTCTTCCTACCCAGAAGTCGCGCCAGTCCACTCCAGAGAGTGAAATCCCTGAGTCTGCTAGAAGGTGAAATTCCAGAGCCCACTTCAGAGAGAAAAATTCCAGAGCCTGCTCCAGAGAGAGAATTTTCAGAACCCGCTCCAGAGAGAGAATTTTCAGAACACGCTCCAGAGAGAGAATTTCCAGATCCCGTTTCTTAGTGGCCAGTACTAGCTCCAATGTATCTAGATTCCTTGTCACGGCCACAGAGGCCGGTCCTAACTTCAATGTTCCTAGTTTCCTCATCATGGCTACGGAGGCCGCTCCTAACTCCAGTGTCCTTAGCTCCCTTGTCATGGCCACAGAGGCTGCTCCTAACTCCAGTGTCTCTAGTTCCTGGCCACGGAGGCCGCTCTTAACTCTAGTGTCCTTAGCTCCCTTGTCATGGCCACGGAGGCCTCTCCAAACTCCAAACTCCGGTGTTCCTAGTTCCCTCATCATGGCCAAAGAGGCCGCTCCTAACTCTAGTGTCCTTAGCTCCCTTGTCATGGCCACGGAGGCCGCTCCAAACTCCAGTGTTCCTAGTTCCCTCATCATGGCCACAGAGGCCGCTCCTAACTCTAGTGTCCTTAGCTCCCTTGTCATGGCCACAGAGGCTGCTCCTAACTTCAGTGTTCCAAGTCCACAGAGGCCGGTCCTAACTTCAATGTTCCTAGTTTCCTCATCATGGCTACGGAGGCCGCTCCTAACTCCAGTGTCCTTAGCTCCCTTGTCATGGCCACAGAGGCTGCTCCTAACTCCAGTGTCTCTAGTTCCCTTGTCACGGCCATGGAGGTCACTCACTTCTCCCTTGTTACAGCTATGAAGGCAGCTCCTAACTCTAGAGTACCTAGCTTCTTTGTCCCAGCCATGGAGGCTGCTCCTAACTCCAGTGTTCCTAGTTCCCTCATTAAGGCCATAGAAGCCACTCCTAACTCCAGTGTTCCTAGTTCCCTCGTCATGGCCACGGAGGCCGCTCTTAACTCTAGTGTCCTTAGCTCCCTTGTCATGGCCACGGAGGCCTCTCCAAACTCCAAACTCCGGTGTTCCTAGTTCCCTCATCATGGCCAAAGAGGCCGCTCCTAACTCTAGTGTCCTTAGCTCCCTTGTCATGGCCACGGAGGCCGCTCCAAACTCCAGTGTTCCTAGTTCCCTCATCATGGCCACAGAGGCCGCTCCTAACTCTAGTGTCCTTAGCTCCCTTGTCATGGCCACAGAGGCTGCTCCTAACTTCAGTGTTCCAAGTTCCCTCATCACGGCCATGAAGGTCGCTCACTTCTCCCTCGTTACAGCTATGAAGGCCGCTCCTAACTCTACAGTACCT